TACCCATTATATTTCCTTTCTCTTTCCTTCCCTTATTCTTGCCTTCCTTCCATGATAATTTGACATGGGTATACTTGAGAATCTCAATAGATAAAAGGTGATCACTCAAATATGTGATTTGCGCCATATAATCTGAAAAGCATTCGCATGTTTTGAAATCCCTGAATAGTTAACTGCCTTCTTACTACCCTCTTCTGGATTTTCTGGTATTCTGTAGACTCTGTATTCTATCATCTACTTTGGGCATTTCAGAATATAGAATGCCATAGAGACATATGGTGATAGTAAAAGCTAATGTCATTGCAAGATTCTAATAGAGATAAAATGATAAAGTTATGATCCACTAAACCTTCTGTGCAATGAAGGTCAAAGAATAGAGTGTCTCTGCGTTGCTCAGAGGGCTGGCGGTATCTGAGTTTAGTTCTGGCCCAAATTAATTTTACATGAGGAGAGTATAAAAGCTTCAAACTAAATATATATTGTTTCTATAAAAAGTCACTGATCTTTCTTTTCTTTTAGCTCAGTATGTAATCTTGAAACATTATCTGTTAAATAATAAATTAGGGAATCAAAAACCTCTTTTTATTAATCCTATAGAATGCCAGATATAGAACATATCTAAATTAAATATTGAAGAATTAAAATCAAAAGTTCAAAACTGAATTAATTGATAACAAGAGGGGCATTCATCTTCTTTCATTCTCTTAAAAATTTCAGGAAATTAATAGTTAATTTAAGAACCTTGAGATTATGGCTTGCTACTATATTTTATGAGTGAGAGTACAATGTCCCTTTATCCTGTCCCTTTATATATTATAAGAATGGATCAGAAACCAAGAATATAAATGTTTAGGAATCTGATTTTACTTGGGTGAGTCTTTTTTTTTTTTTTTTAATATTTTATTTATTTATGTGACAGATAGGGAGAGCAGGAACACAAGCAGTGGGCCGGGGCAGAGAGTGGGGGCGGGTGGAGAGGGAGAAGCAGGCTTCCCACTGAGCAGGGAGCCTGATGCTGGGCTCAATCCCAGGACCCTGGGATCATGACCTGAGCTGAAGGCAGATGCTTAACAAATGAGCCACCCAGGCCCCCTTGGGTGAATCATTTTATCTTGTAATATCTTTGTATCTATGAGCAGTGGATTATTCTAGACTGTAAATGCAAGTGAGATAAAGGCAGAGCTTCGGTGGAGAAGGTAATTGTGCAGCTAAAGTTCTCTCAGCAAGCCACTGGGTGGAGAAGATGGACTTTGATGTGAAGGAATGGATAACGTTCAGGTTATTTAACTCTTTGTCACCGAAGTAGTGATAATTCAAATGCTATGCAATTATGAAATCATTCCCTTTGCTCTAGCATTTCCCCAGTGTGCAGATTCTTGTGTATCAGCAGTCAGTGATGTCTTAGTACTGTCAATAATTACGATCATTGAGTGTAGGAGCCTTAACATTGAAAATATAGGTGTATCAGCTTCAAAAATAATCACTCCAAACATGGCTTATCTTTTTAAAATAATATAAGACTTACTGATTTATTTTAGAGAGAGCTGGTGTGGGGGTAAGAGGTTGAGGGAGATGGTGTCTTAAGCAGACTCCCCTCTCAGTGCAGACCCCCACGCAGGGCTTGATCTCAACGCCCTGAGAGCATGCCCGGAGAATAAATCAGGAGTTGGACATTTAACTGACTGTGCTACCCAGGTGTCCCTAATAACATATATTTTTTATTTGCACATACTTGACACACGATGTTACATAAACATTGCCTATCTTTCTTAGTATCATGGGTTTTGAGTTCAAGTGACAGGGACAATAAGATAAACTTTGAGTCTTGAAAGACATTTCTCACCTCTACCCCTTGTTTTCTCTAGTGTTTACACCAGGAATATACTTATATAAGTGAAATCATGGAATTGGTGAAAGGATATACTTTTCTAAATAATTTGTTCCAACAGAGAGCTTTATGGGCACCAGTTCCACAATGCCTGGTACTCATCCCCTGATTGAGTCTGATTAGTATAGTTGTAGGCAAGCTTTAATTTAACATTTAGTGAATCAGATACCTTGGCATAGAGAAATAGTAAGATGTTATTTTGTCTTGCTTGCTGGAGATCCCAAAGTTTTCATTTGTGTATTCTTTTTTTAAATTACTACTATAATATTTTCTTAATATAAGAAATCTTCTGCATCAGATAATTGTTTTTGCTGTATTATCATTTACCACTCCTGGAGAGCCACATTCAAGCCTCCTGTGTCTTTCAGGATTTAAGCCATATTGTTGTATATGTTTGACCAAGATGGTTTATATTACTTCCAATAATAATGAAAGTTATTAATAAATAAACATAAATGGGGATTTGTCTATTATCTTCCAAATTCAATTAACTTCTAAGACACCTATGGAAAAGCAATGTGCAGAAGCAGTAAGAGAGCGTTGCAGGGCTCCAGGATACCTCTCATGACTGTTCACCTATATACCCACAAATGAAGAATGGCTTGTTTTCTCTGAACCCACAGCATGGCTATTGATTACTCTAAGGTGAATGCTAAGATCATGAACCACATACTTTGTGAGTTGCTATAGTTAAATGAATAATGAAGTTTTGTATTGCTTTTAGTTTGGGTTTCCAGAGATCAGAGCGAGGTTAGAGCAGTGATTCTAGAATTATTGTCTCTAGACTAGCAGCTCCATACCTGGAAACTTGTTAGAAATTTAAATTCTCCGGTGCCACCCAAGTTACGAACAACAAAATATGAATGAATGAATGAATGAATCAATGATTCTGCATGTGATTCTGATGTATCCTAGAACCATTAAGAACCATTTGTTTGGGTATGATATTGCCTCAGTCCAAATTGTTAAGATGCAAAATAGTAATTGGTGCTGTATGGGACATTAGTCTGAACTTTATATCCAGATATATCCAAGGAGAAGTTTCTTCTTCAAAAACTTCTGGGTCTGAAAAACATAGAGCATAATTAGCTATGCCAGTTCAACTTTAAACAATAGTCGGGGGGCACCTGGGTGGCTCAGTGCGTTAAAGCCTCTGCCTTCGGCTCAGGTCATGATCTCAGGGTCCTGGGATCAAGCCCCACATAGGGCGCTCTGCTCTGCAGGGAGCCTGCTTCCTCCTCTCTCTCTCTCTCTGACTGCCTCCCTGCCTACTTGTGATCTCTGTCAAATAAATAAGTAAAATCTTTAAAAAAAAAAAATAGTCGGCAGCCTGCTATTTTAGAGGCTAAGAGAGTTTTGAAATAATTCTTGAGGTTTAGAGCAATACAGTGTTAAGAAGACAAGTCAAAGTTACTATTGGTATTTTGCAAATGGATTTGTCAAATACTTAATATTTCATAAAATATGCAGAATGTTTTCTTGAGGCAGTAAATACTTCTTATAGTCACAGGTGATTAATTGAACCAAATTGCAGGTTTGCTTTTTGACCTTAACTCAACCCTCCCATCAGCCAATAAGAAATCTATAAACTCCACATTGCTTTATAATCTATCACAGAGGATTTAGTGACCCAAACCATGTAATTTGCCTTGCTAACTTTAGCTCTGTGTTTATATAAAATCATACTTCGGGACTTTATATGATTGAAAATGAATGTAATAAAACCCAAGACTTAAGCAGGTTATATAAAAATTGGTTAGAGGCATTGGCCAAGGAATCTCCTGAATGTTTTTTATTATTGGAAACACACATACAAATCTGGTGATAGTGTTCACACTTGCTAAGGAGTAACTGACAAACTAAAGAAGTGTCTTCAGAAACCTAAGAGTAAGTTAATTAAAGGTCGAATCCAGAGGAAGTCACTGTAGCTGTCAAGATATATTTTCTTCAGCTTGCAGTTGAGAAACGCCAGGAATAAAGAGAGAATGTATTCAGAAACATGCTTAAGAAAATAATTCATTTTCTCAGATTCTCACACAGTGACCCATAGAACACATTGACTGTTAATGATTGATTCCGAGTCCATTTCTTTAGCAAGTGTGTACTGGGTGCCTACAGTGCAATGGACACTGTAGAACTTTTAGCATGCCAAAATAGATTACAATAAATGACTGCACTGACCACCACCTAGGTAGTAAAACTTTTCTGTAATCCAATATCTGCTTTTTAAAGCACTTTACTAGAATTAGAATATGTCAGAAGGCTGAGGCAAAATGTGCTTCAGAATTATATGTACCACAAACATCTTGCTCTTTCCTTCCTAAGACAAAAGGAGCAATGTTCCTTCATTTAAAAAGTAGAATATGAATTAAAAAAAATTCATTTGGCTCTCCCACTTGCCATGGTGACAAAATGACCAGTGGCCTTGACGTGCTTCACTGTGTAGCAATAGTAAGCTAACCATTTGGGAGCTTTCATTCTCTTCAGACATGTCTTTTGAGCCGAAATGCAATATGCTTTTATTAACTCACGAAGGGGGTGTTATTCATACAGTACTTAATTTAGTAATTACTAAGTAAGTTTTTTAAGAAATGAGGCAGTAGGAGGAGATAAAGCAAAGACTCGATTTGGTAGCATTTCCTTCATTCCCTTCCTGTTTATTTTGCTTTTGGAGGAGTGGTCCAGGAGACAGAGAATGAAATCTATAAACCATGCTCTGGGTAATAAAATTGACTTTGGACTTATCTAAACACTACTAAGGAAAGTCCCAACCAAATATAGAAGAGAATTAAAAGATGAGCTTCATTAGCTCTATGATGAATCACCTGTACTTCCTCTTTATCCTGCCTTGCTTCGGCCCTATTCCTAATGCTGGGGGATAACTACTTGTTACTGGTGAGTGTTGCTTCACTGTCACCTCTCGATTCATAATCCTTTGAATTGGGAAAGTATAATTATTTCAGCACAAAAATGAGGTAACTAACTGCTTCAGGAAATTCGGCTTAACTATTCCTCCAGTCTAGATATTAATTACCTTAGGTTCAGATTCCCATCATACAATACTTCATCACATTTCACGTTATTTGCTTTATTATTGGAATCTTACTTCTTTCCAAAGAGGTGTTCATAGATCACCAATTGCTTTCTTTTCCTTTAGCCAATTGCTTTCTCCTTCTGGGGGCCGATTGATTTAACAACTAATATCCTTTCTTCCTGGACGTGTAGATCTGACATCATGCTCTCTGACTCTTGTTGTTGAAGGTCCTATGCCTGTGGGTAAAAATAAATGACTCACTAATCAAGTTTTATGAGCGCTTTCACACTTTTCAGATGATTCAGCAAATGGTAGGAAACTTCTTGCAGCCTACTGCATAGATTCTACTGGTTCTAAATGTCTGCCTAACAAAAGACAAAATACCCCTGTAGGTAGTGACTGAAACATTGTCTCACATTTTAGCACGTAATCAAAGGAAGTGGATTTATATCTCAACTTAGGTTTCTTTTTCTTTTTTTTTTTTTTTTTTTAAGATTTTATTTATTCACCTGAGAGAGAGAGAGAGTGAGAGTGCACAAGCTCGGGGAGAGGCAGGAGAGAAGCAGACTCCTTGCTGAACAGGGAATCTGACTTGGAGCTCGGTCCCAGGACCCCAGAATCATGACCTAAGTCAACTGCAGATGCTTAACTGACTGAGCCATTCAGGCACCCCTCAACTTATGTTTCTTTATTACCCAAACAATAACCATGGCAACCTGAACTTTAGGTGTAAGAACTTTTTTATTTTTAAGACGTGTTAGCGTGAATGAAATTATTTATTTAAAACTTTAATTACAGTAGATTCCACAAGTAAGATAACATCAATGATGTCTGTTAGATTGTATTATTCTTAGTAGTACTATTAGTATTACTAAAGAGGAATGCAGTCATGTGTCCATAGTATTTGTGTTCTTACTTTTTCTAATACTCTTTCATATGTATTATTTACCTCATTGGATATAACAACTGATGATCGACTGAATGATGTTTTATTTTTTTTAATTAAAAAAAAAGTAATTCCAATTAGTTTGCATACAGTGTAATGTTAGTTTCAGGTGTACAATATAGTGATTCAATATTTCATACATCGCACAGTGCTCATCACAATAAGCACATTCTTTAATCCCCATTGCTTATTTCACCCATTCTCTCACCCACCTCCCCTCAGGTAACCATTAGTTTGCAGAGGTTCTCCAGAGTTAAGAGTCTGTTTCTTGGGGCGGCTGTGTGGCTCAGTCATTAAGCATCTGCCTTCAGCTCAGATCATGATCCCAGAGTCCTGGGATTGAGCCCTGCGTTGGGCTCCCTGCTCGGCCTGAAGCCTGCTTCTCCCTCTCCCACTTCCCCTCCTTGTGTTCCCTCTCTTGCTCTCTCTCTCTCTGTCAAATAAATAAATAAACAAATAAAATCTAAAAAAAAAAAAAAAAAAAAAGTCTGTTTCTTGGTTTGCCCTCTCTTCTTTTTCCTTTTGCTCATTTGTTTCTTAAAATCCACATATGAGTGAACTCATATGATATTTGTTTTTCTCTGACTGACTTATTTTGTTTGGCATAATACTCTCTAGCTCCATCCCTGTCATTGCAAATGGCAAGATTTCATTCTTTTTTTTATGGCTAAGGAATATTCCACTGTATATGTGTGTACTACATCTTCTTTATCCATTCATCACTGGTGGACACTTGGACTATTTCCTTAATTGACTATTGTAGATAATGCTGCTTTCAATATTGGGATGCATGTATCCCTTTGAATTACTACTTTTGTATTCTTTGGGTAAATACCTATTAGTACAATTGCTGTGTGATACGGTAGCTCTATTATTAACTTCTTGAGGGACCTCCATACTGTTTTCCAGAGTGGCTGCACCAGTTTGCATTCCCACCAACAGTGTTAGAGGGTTCCCCTTTCTCTGCATCCTTGTCAACATCTGTTGTGTCCTGTGTTGTTAATTTTAACCCTTTTGGCAGGTATGAGGTGGTATCTCATTGCAGTTTTGATTCATATTTCCCTGGTGATGAGTGATGTTGAGCATCTTTTCATGTGTCTATTGCCCATCTGTAGGTGGTGGTGCTTGGCTGGTTCAGTTGGAAGAGCATGTGACTCTTGATCTCAGGGTCATGAATTAGAGTCCCACCCTGGGTGGAGAATGTACATAAAAATAAGCTGAAATTATGCTTTAATCCAGAACAACATCTCTAAATTATTAAAACAAAAATAGAATGCAGATGTTCTGAATGCCATCTTTGAAAACCTTTCTGCTACACCATGGTTCCACTTCCTTCTTTTATTTATTTATTTATTTTTTTAAAAGATTTTATTTATTTATTTGACAGAGAGAGATCACAAGTAGGCAGAGAAGCAGGCAAAGAGAGGTGGGAAACAGGCTCCCTGCTGAGCAGAGGGCCCAATGCGGGGCTCGATCCCAGGATGCTGAGATCATGAACTGAGCCAAAGGCAGAGGCTTAACCCACTGAGCCACCCAGGTGCCCCCACTTCCCTCTTTTATAAGCAAGGGATGGTATAATACCATGTAAATCTGTTTCCAGCTAAACCTTTCTGAGGGAAAGGTTCAAAGCGCATATGTCTAGAAAGATGGTGGTGACATTAACAGAGGAACACGGTAGAGAAAATATGTTTTCATTATGGTATTTCCCTGAAATGCTGAGTCAGATTTGCCACCCATGAGGATGGAATAAACTTTTTCAGACATGCAAAGTCTCAAAAATGTAGTTCCTATGTAACCTTTGATAGAAAGCTTCTGACAGATGTGCTCTGCCAAAAAAAAGGGGGGGGAATAGACCAAAAAAAGAGACATGGGACCTGAGAGAGAGCCATACAACATAGAAGAGGCAGAGTGAATCCCCGGGATGGTGGAGAAGGATGACCCCAGGATGGCAGTTGTGTTGTAGGGCAACATAGTCCAGACTGGAGCAGATTAGAGGCTCCAGGAGTGATTTCTTCAAAGGATAAACCTGGTGAAATATCACATATGCTTGTATATGTTGAGAGTCAATTTATCCAACAAGGAGGGAGTTAATTAGTTAAATTATCTATCAATATATGGAAAATTGGAAATGGAAACATTAGGTCTAAAGTAAACAAAAGTTATGCAAGAAAGGAAAATTAGTACATTACAAGTTTCAGCTGGAAATAGATTTACATCGTATTATTATTGTAAACATTAAATAGTAATCTAAACACAAGTTTGTTCTATTGGGAGAATGGGAGGAGGTAAGAAGGTGAAAGTGATGTGTTGAAGTGTGAGCAAAAAAGAGCTAAATCCTCATTTGCTCTACCACGAAGTCAGGAAATAATAGCTGAAGTATATAAGGAAAAAGAAAAAACAAGAGACATCATAAATAAAGTATTTAAATGTATGGAAGTAAAGTGAAAGAATCCGCTAAAAGAGCTGAAAGTCTTTACCTTTGGGTAAATAGAAGAGTGTGAGGAGCGGTGATGACAGTATGCTTTTATTTAAACACTGAATGCTGTAGAATGGTAGAATCTTAAAAATATCTGTATATGTAACTCTGAGGTAAAGGAAAAACAACTAAACTGCAAGAAGGCAGAAGAGAAGAGATTCTTCTTAGCAAGATGGATTGAGGATTCCAATTGAGGGTGAAGATAATGCAGAAAAGGAAAGTACAAATTAATAAACTTCAGGGAATTTGACTCCAAATTATCTCTTACTGTGCCAAAAAGAGAATGAGCTAATGTCTTCTGCTGAAAGTCAAAGCAATTGAGTATTAGAAAATGGTGGGATTGTGACAGAGAGGGAAGATGTATAAAAAGATTACCAAGCATCAGTAATATTAAACTGACATTAGATAACCTGAATTTGTAGGGTGCTTTGTTAGTGATGCTCATGGTTTTCTGTAGCAACTACCGTCTATGAGTGAAATAGCTGATATTGAACTTGGGGGCTTATTAAGAGTTGGGAAATGGTGAAGGTGAACCAAAGGAAAGATAAGATTCTAGGTTGTTTCTGGCCCCTTAAAATTTAGAGAGGCTGGGGTGCCTGGGTGGCTAATTCTTTAGACATCTGCCTTTGGCTCAGGTCGTGAGCCTAGGGTCCTGGGATCGGGCCCTGCCCTGGGATCGGGAGGCTGCCTGCTTAGGGGGAAGCCTGCTTCTCCCTCTCCCACTCTCCCTGTCTGTGTTCCCTCTCTTGCTCTGTCTCTCTCTGTCAAATAAATAAATAAAATCTTAAAAAAAAAAAAAAAGAATTTAGAGAGGCAAATAAAGTCGTATTTGGTATTCCCAGGGAAATTAGAAGAGATCAAGAGACTGAGGGTTATATTATAAATAAAAAGAGAATGAGAAAAGAGGATATGAGATGGGTATCGAAGATGGGAATTGCAGCTTTGGGGATTATGGTGTGGAACTTCTTGGAACCATAGTGAGGTAGGTGAGCCCCCAGTCCAAATGGGCAGTCAGCATCAAGCAGGTCTGTAGCAACACGTGACAGTGAGTTAGCCTTTGGGAGTCCATATCCCCAATGTAAGAGCTCAGCCCCACTGTCCTCAGGTGCAATGTAGCGATGGAAAGCCAGCCCAGTGAACCAGAGTACTGATGGTTCTCCCTAAAAATCACAGCCACAAATACATAGAGTTTAACACGGGTAAGCAACTCCAGTCAAGAAGCAGACCTGGAAATTGCCTTCAAACACGTGGTCCTGTGCTCACATTGTGCTAGGAATGCATTACTGTACTGCAAGCGGTTAATTAATCAAAGCGTGTCCCTTCTGAAATATGCAGATAAATTAGGAAGGAAAATGGAATCTTTGTTATGTGATTTTTCTTAATGATTAGAGTGTGTTCTAAATAAACAAAAGCAAATTGATTGCCAAAACTATGTTAATGTGCTTTTAATTCACAAGGGCTAAGCATATAAAAGTCAGGATATTGAAAGTTAAGATTCTCATAGAAACATTAATTTGACAACAGTATGCATACTAGGTATGGGAGGTTTATATTTTATAGCATAAAAGCAGTAGGAAATATTGCAAAATGTAGCTCAGTTAAACAAAATGAAATAACAAATTTAGGGGAAAGTCATTAAATGTGATTATGGAAAAAAATTATTTTGCAACCTCTATAGAAGGGTTATAAAATTTAATTTTAGGAAATAATGCCTTCAAATCTTTTCAAAATATGTTTTCAATGGAAATTATTCATTTTTATCAAAAAATCGATTTCCCTAGCACATTGTATATTCTGATGTGAGTTTATGCCTTTCATTTGGAGTTCAGATTTGATCCTAATAGACCAAAAGGAGAGTCAACTGGCTATTTCATTGCCTAGTTGATAAAGATTTCATAGACTAAAAATTAAACTTTAAGGGTTTAGAATTTTTTTTTTTAGGATACAGAGAATATGGAGGAAATTTTAAATATGAAGAAGCCTGCCAGTGTACTCATACTCGCTTATATATTTGACCTCTTTATATTTCTGTAAACTATTTGCATATGTGCATTATGGAAATTCCAACCTGATCATACCAAATGTTTTAATTGTGTGGCATAGGAAAACAAAAGAACTTAAGGCATGTTCAGGGAAGGAAGTGGGCCAGAAAACAAACTGACAGCCTTTGCTTTGTCTCTGTTTCCATTCCTGCCTCATGAACTGGACAGCAGGTCTGGAAGCTTGAGTTCTCCCGTCCAGCTGCACTGAGCCCTGGGTGGATGTTTCTGTCACCTTGGCTGCAGAGACTTCATTCATTCTATAGGGAACAGGAGTGGTGGACCCATGAAGCGGCTCCTTGGAGCATGTCACCTCCCAGTCCAATCAGAACTGAAGGCAGGAAGGCAGGAAGGAGAGAAGGCAGGCAGGCAAGCAGGAGGGAAGAAAGGAAAATATTATTAGCGTTATAATTGTACCTCAATTCTAATGATCACCAATTTCAACTATTTAATTGATTTTTAAGTAATGATAAAGATTTTGTGTTCCTTTATATCAAATATACGTTATTTTTGGGTGCAAATTAACAAATGAAAACCGAAAGTCCCCTCACAAAGGAACAGACCATGAAAATATAAAGATAAATCGACATGCTGCTAACATTTCTATTTTCCATTGTGTTTTATGTCATAGCAAGGCAATCTGCAGAACAATAAAGGTTCATTCATAGAAGTGAGATATGTAAATTCCTGAGCTAGCAGACTCCTGGCCCAGTATTCAAAACGCCCTTCAAAAAAGGCACAATGGTCTGCATTTTTCCCTGGAAAAAAAATCTATGCAACCACATTCCATGGCAATGAACTCTTTATAAGCTTGATGAAGAAAAATGCTTTGTATACTTACTTTCATCTTTACTCCTTGCTATTTTCTGTTTCCAAACAAACAGAAGGACAAATGCAAACTGCCAGCTCGCAGGATGTATAAACAAGTGTTATTGAATATTCAGAAGTACAGTGGTATTTCTAAAGTTCAGAACAAATCACTTAGAGTCTTTCTTTTGTTTTTCAATTTTCCTTATTCAGGCACCACAAGGCCACATAAGGAGGGTGAGGTCCCCGGAGTGGACTACATTTTCATCACCGTTGAAGATTTTATGGAATTGGAGAAAAGCGGTGCTCTCCTAGAAAGTGGGACTTATGAAGGTAAGCACAGCTCTACTGCTCACGGTATTCCATTGCTGCATCACATTTTTCTCCTTTGACTGAGATGCATCAGGACACCAGATTTCCAATATGCTACTGTTTTTGGTGTGAGAACGTTAATGATGTCATTTCAGGGAAGTATTTCCAAAAAAAAAGTTAGGCTACCTCTGGATTAACTCTACTCTTCAGATACTGACATATATGTATATATCCACTGAAGTTGGCTTGGGATGGCATTCTGAGGCTAAGCTGTGATCTTCCAAATAAATTACCTTCATCTCTGGGGAGCATTTCAAAGAGCACAGGGCTTGAGTTCCAGTCCTGTCATTATCTCTGTGTGATTTTCTTCAGTTTCTTCACTTTACTGGCTTTCAGTTGCCTCCCGTGCAAAATGATGAATTAGGAAAATATGATCTGTGCGTACTCTCCAAAGCACTGGTATAATAGCAAGGTTCCTTGTGCACCTGAGGCAAACATGAACGATAGATAAATGACACTAAAAGCTCAAATGTGGGGAGTATGTGTCAGCGGAAAGAGCACTGTAACATGAACCAGAATCTGTTCTCTGTTCCAAATCTGGCTTTATTACTTAGCCACTATAAATACTAAATAACCCAGTTAGTATGTCTGAACCTCAATAGAATTAGCTGTTAAAGGGGAATGGTAGCGTTGAAAAATATGAATAACAAGTTAATGTGATCACATTTATACATTTAAGTGACATCCACATGCATATAGTTTATGTCTAATGAAATTATCTGTGTATGCATTAACTTTAAAATGATATGACTTAAAAATGTGGAGAACACTATTTTTATTCTGATTTCACAGTTATTCTATGTGTGAACTATATTTATATGTTATTAACTTGAGAGATGAATCTAGTTTTACTGTACTATAATTAATAGTGATATTACAAACAAAACTAATAATATATACATTGCTGCTTAGTGCGTAAAATACCTGAGGTCTACCGTCAGCAAATAAGTTGAGTTCATTAGCACTTACGCCTTCATTTACTTGTGGGTGCCCAGTGGACTATAGTTATTTGAGAACTTAATATTTTAACTTTGTTAGAAGTATTAAAATCTCTTCTTTTACTTAGCGCACTCCTACGGTAATTTAGGCTGAGACACATGCCTGTTTTATGGCTAACACATTTACTTGCTTATTGTCACATTTACAGGAAATTTGGCAAAAATACCCAGGAAAAGAAAGTGGTTTACACATGAGTATTGTTTCTTGTTCACATTGTCAAAAATGAATAATAGTGGAAGTTGACTGAAAATATTTGGAATATAGAGCACCTGAGTGGCTCAGTTTGTTAATGTCCAACTCTTGGTCTTAGCTCAGGTCATGATCTCAGGGTCGTGGGATTGAGCCCCATGTAGGGCTCAGTGGGCAGTCTGCTTGAGATTTTTCTCTCTTCTCTCCTTCTTTCTCCCCCTTTGCTCCACCTGCTCATGCTCTCTCCCTCTATAAAATAAACAAATAAATCTAAAAAAAAAAAAGGAAAGAGAAAATATTTTAAATACAAAGGCTGTGTTGGTCATATAAGCTGCCTTACACTATGTAAAAAATAACTACCTGTATAAATCATACAAAAGACTTAAAGAAGTCAGAGTTTATAAACAATGAATTTTGTAGTGTATTTTCCTGTAGGCTTTGTGACATTATTTAGTGGCATTCACTAGTTTGCATGTCTGCAATATTAATGCATTGTATTTAATTACCTTACTTAAATATTATATTTGTGTAACAAAGAACCAGTGGCTTAACATACAGGAGCATTCCAAGAGTAGTATGATTAACATTATGACCTTTTTTTTTTGTTTTTAAAAATAAAGACTGTGTTAATTGTCTAGAAGGTGAAAAAATTAAACCAAATGTTCATGTTAAATTTTCACTAATTTCATGATAAACCAGATGTCATGAAATTTAATAGCAGTATTTAAAAATAAAGTCTTACTTAAATTTTAGGTTCCATTTAAATTTTGAGGGAACTATCCTGAAACCATTCAAATGTAGACACGTTTTGTGAACCAGGGAGGGTTGTCCTGAATCTACTTTAGGCATCTTTCCAGTGTTGAGAGTTTAGTTTTCTATAGTTTGGTGCCAGCTTGTTAATTGCCTCCATGTACATAGAACTGATCATTGACTAATAAGGCTGATTTGTATATATGACTCCAGGGAATCAATACCATTGTTTGCAAATACACAAGGTATAGTTGGATGAATAAGATACTCCTTTTTCAGGTCACATAACTATCTAGGAAGAAAAACTAGGGAGCATTCTCAAATCTCAGGATCTTTGGATTTTTCTATAGTTAAAGCTGAGAACCAGTAGAATTGACATTGTAATAAAAATCACTATTATTCCTTCAGGATTGATCATAAGCTCTAGGCTCAGGGTTACCACTTAGTGTGTTATTCATCAAGGAAACCTGAGAAATGCCTCTTCTGCAGTTGACACTTTCAGAATATATAGAATAACAATCATGTGCTACTCACCTAGACAAAGAAAGACCTGAGAGCTTTTATATTTGTCAGGCTTTCATGATATCCGTATCTCATGTGGTTTCTTCAGTAAAGTCCCAGTTTTTCTGTTATATTTTCCTCCTTCTGCAATGTTTGGACCATTGTTCCCTTCCCTCCTCCTTGCTAGAACATTCTCATACCTTACCAGTACTCTAAAGCCCTCAGCCAGACGAAAAAATACATCTTTGATATCTGCAAGTCCACTAAAGAAAACAGAAAATTGGGTTACTCTTGGTGTTAAGGTTATATAGACCTATTAACTATGTTGGGTCTTTAAGACTGAGTCAAGCCCACAAACCAGAACATCAAGACTACTAATGCAGTTGGAGGTAGGGAGATACCCCCTGCTGCTTCTTTCTCATAAATACTTAGCAACTTGTACATTTCTTGCTAGGAACTGGGAACCCATTCTATTATTATTATTATTATTAACAAAGATCAAGGAAGTCCTCTATAAAATGTTTAATTAAGATGCCCATCATTGAGAAAAACCAGTCTTACAGTATTCATCCCCACTACCCAGTTTCAAACAAGAAATACCTACCTGAAAAGTAGTTATGAGGAAGAATATATTCTTTTAAGTTTTTCTCATATGTATGTATTTTTGTCTCATTGTCAGTAAATAATTTTAATCTTGGTGAATAGATGTAGGTATAATGGAGTTTGTCCACTGACTGGAAACAAGATGGACTGTCCTGAATTGCAGATCCGCCTCTTAGAAATTGGCTCCAATTACTTGCTCCAAAAGAACAATTCTTTTACTTACCTGAGGCTGCAAAGAAGGCCTTAGCATGCTTGAGTTACTATCTACAGTCATGCCACATGATCCCAGGCAATGTTTTAGCAGACTCTTTAAGTCTTTTCTCTGCAGCACCAACTCCTAAGTCTCATTTCAGTCTGCTATGTATAGCTGCCGAATGCCTTTGCATGCAAATGGCCCAAAGGTCTTGGTTCTGAGGGATCATCAGGTCTTGGTAAACAGCCTCTTTTGTCATGACTTGAACGATCCCATCCTTACCTTTTCATATCGACTCAAGTTTAAAATTAAGTTAATAGAACAAAGCCCAGTGGTGAGCCTGACGTAAAATCAAGTAACAGACAATATGAACCTTTAGGTCAGGACTGAAGGAGTAGGCTTCATGTGGAACACAGACCACAGAGCTCTGTTAAATGCAAATAATTCCTTTAGGATTAAGATCACATGTACGTATAAGTGAGACACCAAGAGGTAGAAATAAGTAAGTTGATATGGCAATCTAAAGAAGTACTCTAAGTGCCTGGAAGGAAGCCCTGTCTTTGGGAACTGTCCGCAGTGCTGAATTACCCATGACTCCTGAATCCATGAATCCTGCCTGACCTCCTTCTTCCAGTTGTCTGCAATGTTGCATTCATGGTGTCACTGACCATCCGCACCAGTTGTCTGCCTCAAACTTTGTTCTGAATGTCATTATTAACTAACCCCATGTCTCCTGAGCTGTGCCTGGAATCTCATTTCATTAACTCATCTACTGAGATTATCCACAGTCATGTTCCAGAGCAGTACTTCTGTTGTATCATCAACTACCGTATTTTGCTATTGTGCTTTAAGTGGAAATAAGACTATTTTTCTACCTGTTAAAGAAGCCACTGATCCTAAACTTCAGTGTTTCCTTTAGATAAACATAACCTCAATTGTAATATTGCCCCAGTTTTTAAGAAGACTAAGTCAAGACCAGCAAATTATTTGGGCATCTAACAGAATATAGTACAAATATGACAACTCACTGTCACTTCAATTCTGTGGTTTTTCCTAGACATAGATCTAACATATATGGACTTGAGCCTACTGCAAACAGCACACCTTTACCTTTTTTAAACAGTTTTATAACAGGGATTATGAAATACAGTATGTTCACTTCTGTACATAAAAGTATGGTCCTTCCTGGTATAGCACATAAAATCCTGTTAAAAAAATTAAGTACCTGGTGCCTGGGTGGTTCAGTCGGTTAAGCAGCTGCCTTTGGCTCCAGCCATGATCCTGAGGACCTGGGATCAAGCCCTGCATTAGGTTCCCTGCTCAGGGGAGAGTTTGTTTCTTCCTTTCCTTCTGTCCCTTTCTCTCCCCCCACCAACCCACGTATGCTTTTGCAGGCACGTACTCACTCTCTCTCTCTCAAATGGGCAAATAAAAAGTCTTTAAAAAAAATTACTAAGTACAAATAATTTTCTGTGAAAATAGCTTAAGCAGTTCATGATGAGAGAAGAGAAACAACAAATTTTACATAAATCCATTTCATTTTACTAAAATCAGTATCAACTTTTTAAAAAAATCATAGCCTTGATACATTTATTATTGAAATGAGAATTTCTGTTTTCAATCAAGATTAACATTGGGTGATAAAGGGATACTGAAACCAAAGAAAAATCATTACTGGTACTATAAATAGTATTGAGAAATACTGTTCTTCTAACAATCCAAGTTTCTACCCACTGAAATGTAAATAATATTTCCTGAAGGGCAGATCAGTGTTTAAATTAATGCTAAGATTGTTGTCATTCCAGGAGACCAAAATGAGATAAAATGTTTTTCTTCTTCCCTTACACTCTATTACAAGAGAAAATTTTTACCATGTAAATAATAACCTCTGTAACAACAGTAGATTCTTAGAGCTTGCAGTTAAAGGCATCCAGTTGTTATTATATATACAGATTATAACATGTTTTTATTTTGATTCTTGCTCCTTTTTCTCTCTTTTGGCAGTATTCCTACAGTGGAAGATTCTAAGCCATACATTTGGGTGTTCATTTTAGGAACACTAAACATTTACACATAAAGCTCATTAAATCTTTATTTGACCAGTAGAGGAAAACACATTAGTGAAGTTTTACACCCCTTTGGGATCTTATAATGCCAGGTTTTTTTTTTCTTTCCTTTTTTCTGTAAGTGATTCCATCTGTATTTAGAGCTGTTGACAGAGGGAATATGATTTTTTGCATGCTGCTTTGCTCTTGTGTAAGGCACATTGTGCTTTAAAATTGACAAAATATCCTTTTGGTTTGGGACCTTTTGTAAATTCAGCTTTTTCCAAAATATGTAATGCAAATGCCTATTTCTAAGTATTTTTCCTCCCAAAAGAAACTAGAAGAAACAAATCAAGCAATTAATTAACTAATTTAATACTATTACTATCATATAAATTATAACTTAAAGACTAAAGTCAGGGAACATGAAATGACTTGCTTGTTATTACTGAAAGTACAACATTAACCAGTTTACTATAGCTATATAAATTTTTGTTCAGTTGTAGTTAAAAGGAATAGGAACTGAGTTTTTGGAGCATGTCATTAAAATAAAGGCAATATTCATGGGCATAGGACTCACTTCAGCTCTCTCACAACCCATGATGGTAATAATAGGTAAAGCCTAGGTTTCCAAAACCGTGATAGTCAAGATTTAATTAATTTCCTTCAAGGTCATGTCTTTAATCACAATGATTTTCTAACTCCTGTATATATTCTGTGTAGTTTTTTTTTTTTTTTTTTTGAAACAAATTAAGACTTCACCTGAAAAAAATGTAATGCCCCTCATCTCATGGGAAGAAAAAAAATGCATGACTTTAAAATTTTTGCTGGTATTTCCACTGCTTCAACAAGCAGACCTATTTGCCTTTCCTGATGGGATGGATATTTTCAGATGCTCTGAGTTGTCTTACTTTAAATTGACTCATTTCATAGGAGACACACACGAGTTTTGGTCACCTTGATTACTGTGGTCTTCTACATGAGAGCATAGTTTCTGAAATAACATCAACACAGTGACGGCC